CATTGGTAGGTTAGAATTAATACAATTAATCACTTTCAAAGTGGTGCAAATCATGAGAAACCAAACAGGTTTTGCACAGGTTCTGTGTGATCCCCTGAAAACTCAAGAACTGACTCAGAAAGCACCATAAGAGCATCCGCTCAGTGCCTAGCAACAGTTTGGAACGCTAAGAAAATGCTTAGTCACATTCATACGACAGGATACAGAAGGAGGACACAGAATTTAAAATTCACCTCTCCAGTAAAACACTGAATTTGGTTAACTTCCTTCAAAGAAATCTTTCAGAGGAAAGTAAGAATGATAAAAGCATACAAGCAGCATATGAATGAGTGGGATTTTCTGATGACCCTCTCTCATGCAAGACCCTTTCTACTTATCAATGCAGTAAGCCTTCCCCGGACCATGTCCTCCTTTCCTGGCACCCTGCCTTTCCCAGAGCTGCGTGGGCACAAATCTTTGTATCCAGTGAGACAGAGAAGTGCAGTCCCCAATGAAAGCTCCCATATTTGTCCTAGGAGGGTCAGAGACTAGGTAAGTATGGTAAAAGGACAAAGTTTTCTCTGTAAAAGAACTAGATTTTCTCTTTTGTGGGTGTGTTCAAGAAAAAAATAAAATTCCCTGGGGGCATACAACTCTCCAAGTGAGCTTTCTCTGGTGAAGACTTTTAGGGTCCCCTAACACCCTTTCATTATGATGAAGAACAGGGGCAAAGAGTGGGGTCACAGAGGCTCAGCATCACCCAAACCACTTCAAAGAACTTCAGGTCTGATGCTCAGCACCACAGTTCACGAGGAGACTGCAACCAAACTAACACAGGAGAAGCTCCACGACAGGATTGGATTCCCACCGTCAAGCTGCCTCCTTATCCTATCTTTTATGATTGTAGGCACCACTCACAAACTTCAAGCTGATGGATCACATCCTAAATGGGGTCAGAAGAAGCACAGAACAATTAGTGATATTAGTCTGGCACTGCCCTCGTGACTGATCCATTAATCTTAGAGCAGGGGCGACACTCAACAATATTGAAAAACAACACGCATTTCAAAGGAAAATCCCTCCTGTACATAATCAAATTCTGAAATGCACTAATATGAGATATTAGTAAACAAAATAGTTAAGCAAAATTATAAAGAAGACTTGGTATTTACATCAGTTGAAATAGAATTCATAGTTGTATTTTCCAGATCAGAGTCATGAGGACACTAATTCCCATCCCTAAAAGCAGAAGCTGATTGCCACCTGGGATTATGAAAGAATTCCCTCTCTTTCCTTTGTCTCACAGGTTACCAGAGGACACCTGGTGGGTACTGATTATCTTCCTATAAAACACTACTAGAAAGAATAATTGAATTTATTATCATTGGAGAAGCCAAATTGGTTGGGTCAATGATCTTCCATTATGGTACGACAACTCTTCTGAACAGTCCAGTATTTCAAACAATGGTTAAAATACTCATAGATGCTTGTATTTGCTCTTCTCCACCCCCCTCACCCTCACCTAGAACAGTTCAAAAGGTAAAAGCCACATCTTCATTTTCACAGATTCTTTACTGTGTCAGCTACAGACAGTTTGGATGCATTTTTCTGGCAGAAACATTGAAAAAATCTATTCTAGGTCAATGACTTCCACAGTCAGTGGATCATTCAAAGTGTTCAGAAGGCTCAAAGGAGAAAAATACATCACTACATATTGGTATTATGCATGCTCCCTGAAGAGGTATTGATTGCATTTATGGCAAAGAATTAAGAAGTAGCTTTAATGTCATTCTGTTCATGAATGTCCTTTCTCTCCAACAGATCTCACATAATAAACCCTGCTACAAAAACTAGCATGCATTTTGACTAGATTGAGGACAAAATGATTGTGTGTATGTAATGCTGTGGGTTATATACGTAACATACTGCCAGTGAAACACACACAAATCCCTTTGTGTACAGGACAGCAAGCAGAAGAAAGGTACACACAGTTTATGCTATGACCACAAAGATAACTGTGGCTCATTAAAGCAGTTCTATAAAAGTCCATTAAACTGACACTATTAAATAGCAGACATGCGAGGAAGTATGTACGTGATTTCTCCTGTGAAAGAAGGATTCATGAAGTTGCCTTGCCTTGAATTACGTGGGGTGTGCAGTTGTACATTACCTGCACACTTGTATTTCAGCTGGACAGCCACCACAGGAACGGCAGAAGGTTGCAACAACCTTTTCTTTCCACTGCTCCTACCTCCCGCAGTGCCACGGATCATTAATGGCAGCTGCCACGGGAACGGTGCACTCAGAGGTCAGTAGCACCATCCCCTGTACTGCCAGCAGGCAGGGGTTGAAAGCTGGGGGCAAGAGAAGGGTTTTGCCCCAGAAGATCCTCTTATGTTGTCCCTAGGTTCTGGAGCAGTTCAGGTGCAGAGGTGAGCAGCCTGCCGAATGGTGGAGATGAGGGATTTCTCCATCCCAGCTCGAACACAAGTGTAAGTGGGAAAGAGGATCTGTCAGAAAACAATTGTTCTCTCCACAAAACAACCAGCAGGCAGGGCTGTTTTGTCATACAGTGAAAGGAAAACAGTCAGCAAGATAAAAATACGTCATGTTCTTTCATATCTAAGTTCATCAATAACAGCTCTCTGCTTACTTTACAAGCAAACGTTTAAATCTACAGTGAAGTCAAAACATCAAGCATCCTGAAATCTCTGTCTCCAAAAAACAGCTTTCTGGAACCAATTCTGATTTTGAGTAGCTAAAACCAATACGGTTCACCAGTGCCAGCAGAGCATCAGACAACTCAGTGGTCCAGGACAGACCAGAAGCCAGGCAGGAGCCTGTGCCACACAGTGCTTCCCCATCTCCTCAAGTCTCACTCCCAGCCTACCACAAACCTGGAAAAAAATCATGCATTTCTCATCCGGCCCGCGTAAAGAAGAAGAGTAGTCTTCCTGAGTGTTTTTTCCATGAAGTTTTAAATAAAACAAAAATAGGCGGAGTTGCACCAAATTCTACCCATTCTTTTCCTCTAATTAGACATATAAATTAGTAAAACACTGCTAACCACACAGTATGCCAGTGTGCATATAGATTCTTACACATCTGTTTTATGTAATAATATTTTATTATTATATTATAATTAATATTATAAAGTATTTAAAAAATTATTCTAAATTTAATAATATTTTATATGGTTTTTAAAATCTTGTGACACTAGATACACACTGGGTCATTTTTCGCTTGGGAGCTCAGTATCTTAAGCTTACTTACAAGGACAAATGTAGGAGCTCACACATCTCTCCTTGATAAATGAGACCTATCAGAAGCCAATGATCCCAGAGCACAGGATATATAGAACACTTGACAATGTGAGCTCAACAACAATGAAGAAATACTTTTTACAGTCCACTATTTTGTGACTGCAACCAGCCTGACTGTAATTTACTTCTCGAGAGAAGATTCTGGGAGCATTCTGTGTGAAAATCATTTTATGTTTCTTCCTTCCTCCAAACCCATTATTTTTCCATTGACGCAGGTATTCTATATCTTATGCAATAATAATTACATGAACTAAGCCATTTCTAAATGTATATAATACATGTTCTATGTGAGCACTCTCTTTTTTCTTTTTTTGAGCTAAAACATCAAACACAAAATACACATAGCATTTGTTTTGTGTAGCAAAACACAGGAAAACATTGTTCTCTGTCACAAGGATTTTATGTTCGAAGGTCCCAACTCTCAGAAAACCTAATAAAGTATATACTCATTTTTATAGTTAACTCAGTAGGAACACTGACAGCATGTGTGAGTCTTCAGAGAAATAATACTAATGTAACTAAAACTGTAAATGTTAAACAAAAATATATTGTAATTACACTGCAATTTCTGATAAATTTTTTCCTAAATAACCTCTTTCAATTAAAACCTTGATCAATCATCCCCAAGATTCTTTACAGAACTCACATCCCAACATTATTCCTTCATGTCATGCGGGAACAGCTATGGAATTATACTGGAAATGTGTACACCAGCATACAGCACCACCATCTGAGGGGGGCTGCATGTATTACCACCAGTCATGGTTCAAAAGAAGCCAGCCCTGAATTCAGTAATTAAAGAATTCAGCTGTATTCCCTAGAGAGGATTTTGAGAGAGAACCAAAGGGTGACTACAGAATGGCTGTTGCTTTGTAATATGACAAAGATATTTTTGGATTTATTTTGTAGCATTAAATCTTTACTGAAATTAATAAGCTATTAAACAGAAAAGCTATGTGACTGCATAGGTTTTTAAATGGCAAACAAGTTCATTTCTAGGGAAACACTGTTCTTATTAATTTACAAACATTTTACAGCCTTGTATTTTCATTAGTTCAGAATTTTCCTTGCAGTATATGTTACATTTTCTAGCCTATTCATTACTTTATGGATTTTTACAGGGATGCCTCTCAATGAACCACAGCACAGGAACAGAGAGAAACCCAGAGATGGTGCAGGGACTCATGTAGCTCAATGAATCAATGCTGGGATATTCCTCTCCTTCATTCAGTAGCTGTTAACACTACTGCATCCAGTACTCTCTTCTCTCTTGTGCTGAGGTGGCATCTGCGAGCACCAGGGTGCTCACTACCTTCCTCCCCCAGCCTTGGGGCAGTAATGTGGCCAGTTTCCCCCATGGAAGAGCAGGGAGGAGACCAGTGGCAGCACAGTTTCCATTTGACCAGCACCCATGACCTTCGTCATTCCAGCTAATACAGTTTGAGGTCCATGCAGATGTAGACCGGTGAAGAATCCTCTTTTATGTGCAGTTTCAGCTTGTTTCAGTGGTCATATTTTGAAACTCTAAGCCAAAACAAAAATCTGTAATAGCATAGCTCATCCCTGTCTTGGGATAAAAGCAGAGAAGGCACAAAGAGGCCAAAAAACTCTGATTCCACCTGGGCATACTGACACTCCTGTGAAAGAAGCAGGCAATCTTAAGTATTGTCACTTTTTTTTTTCTTCTAAAATACTCACCTGACTTTCCCTTTGGTGTTTCTAAGAACAGTTGCAGCAAAATTTTGTGTAACACCAACCAGACTGAGGCCATCAACTTCCACAATTTGGTCATTCACTTGGATCCTTTCAGGGAAAAACACAAATACAGAAATAATTGTGTGAATTCTTGGTGAACTTTCAGCAAAACTTAGTATACGGAGATCTTTTCAGTTTGATTTTAAACAAAGACTTCAAACAAAACCTCAGTCATAAAATGATTGAGGTAAATATGAAAAATGCATCATTCCTTGCACGTAGACATCTCATAAATCAAGCCTCAAAGTTACCATTACAATTAATAGCGTCAATCACCCAGTCACTTCACTTATATATAAATGCAAAAACACAAACTCTAGAAATTGTCATATGACTTAAATTAAACGAGATAGTTGAACAGTTCTTATATCATTCTTTCCTAAGCCAATCTCGAAAAACAGCATAAGACATAGCTCTGGTATTTCACGCTAATGGAAAAAAATGCGGCATTTAACTAAAACAACCTGCTCATCTGTGGAGAAAAGAGCTTGTGCATTGACTTAACTGTGACCTACTCTCTTAAAATATTTCATCTAAGTTGCTCCAAAAAGATGAATTCCCAGTGTACGGGTGATCTTGCTGCACACAACAATAAGACCTTGGACTGTTTTAATGAGGACTCTCTCTTCGAAACCAAACACCTGTTTACAGTCAATACAGTGTCTGATGCAGAAAAAGTTAGGCGGAATAAAAAACATACTGCTTTTATCTGAAGCAAGCACTGCTATGAAATCCCTAGAGGAGGCAGTGGACTCATCTGGATTACAAATGCTTGGAAGGAGGACTGCTATGTCCTCTAGAAATGCAAGAAGTATTATAGTTTTAAAAATTACTACCCCTGCCCCCTGCCACTCAGAACTAGTGAAAGGGAGCAATTTTCAAGTACTTATACAGATGCTACTGATCCAAACGATAGGGTTTACAAAGGAACCAAGAAACCACTATGAAAAAATTCCATTAAAATTATATGAAAATAGCTAAATTAAGCTATTTAATATCTTAGGATAGCTTACTGAAACTTCTTTTCAAAGAACAACAGAGGCTTCAAAAGAGAGCTGAAGCATATTGACTTGGAGCACCTAATTTCTCTGTCAAGTCTGAGGCAATGCTTTGCAGTTCTACAGGTGTTCCAGCAGTATCTTCAGTTCTTTGGACTCCACTGATGAGTAAGAAATACAAGATTTATTCTTTGGCAGCCTCACACCACAGAATGTCACTGTGTTCTGGGCAGGATCTCCCTTCTGTATATAATAAACCTTGAAAAAATGATCTTTACAACAGTCTGTACTCCTATCTTGAAAATCCTATCAGGCATCAGAATTTTATTTCAATTTTCACTGAAGCATTTTTTAAATACACCAATCACATTAATATTTATTGTATTTTGATACTGTAAAAATTAATTATTTTTTTTAACTTCCGCAAACATGAGGTGCAGTCGGATGGCCGCAGGAGTTCCAAGAAAAGAAGTTTAAGAAGTTGGTGCCCATTGAGTGGGAAGCTGTCACCCTCTTGGCTGAAAACTATATGGTGGAAGAACAGATTCCTTTCTGATGGCACTTTGCATACTTCACTGTGCAGTGGCCTAGAAGTGTTCATACAGATACGTAGTTATAGTAACTCAGGTGATGGAACATCATGTTAGAGAACTGTTGCCTGCAACTTTGTAAGTGGCTCAGCCTTCATCTACTGCAATTCAGTCTGACTCCACTTGTCCTTCAGGCTTATTTCGTATCTCCTTTTTTGTTTGTACAGCTCCTAAATTCATTTCCAACTCTTATTTTTTATGGCCATTGTTCTCCAAACCTCCTCTCTTTCTATATATGCATATATTTTAATTACAAATAAACACATGTACATATCAAACGACATGCAACGAACATAATTATTATTCAAATTACATATGATTACATGTAATTAAAAAAGAAGTTTCCTGTCTGTTGACATGTACATTCTATACTGCCCAGACTAAAATACTCTCACAGCCATGTTCTCCTGGCCACCCTCCTCTTCCTCGGGCATCCCCTCTCCAGCCCCACTCCCACTGCAGCTCTGTACCTGTAGCCTAGCCCTAACTGCAGAGAAGCCACCCCAGGCACCATCTACACCAAAATATTCTCACAGCCATGTTCTCTGGTCAGCCTTCCCTTTAGTATCCCCTCCATTAGGAACTCCAGGCTTCCTCTGTCTCTCAAATCTAATTTCAAACATGAACAAAAAAGTAGGCTCAGGTTGGCAAAGCCTTAATTATAGAGGTGTCACTGCTTTTATCATTAATGAAATTGGTAATTCTGACAATTATTTTCTAATGGTCAGAACTTAAATCGTTGCCTATGTGAAGCAGCACTTCAATGAAGTAGCAACTACAGAAGCGAACCAACTAACGTTGAACAAATTACTTGCATGATTACTGCTCCGTATGATGAACTGAAAAATCTAACCTGTGCAGAGACAACATTTAGAGTATTTTTCAAGTTAAGAACTGTGTGATGTTTCAAAACTGTTGTTCTCAATCTTAACAAAATACTTTAAAATGTGAATGACTCATCACCACAATAATTTGAAAGCAGCAGCTATGAATTCATCCAGGAAAAGATTTTATTTTTCATATTCAGTCTAATGATTGATTTCATATTTTACACACTATTAGTAATCTCTCTCATTACTTATCACCATGCTTGCCTCTGGCTTCATCTTGAAGCACCCTCCTTGGTTAAATCCTGCCACACAACACCTTTTGATATGACGGCTGAACACTACCTGTTTGTTTGCATCAACATGAATCAAGCCAGCGGTGTTCAGCCACCAAGAAACCCCTTTGTACAGATTTTGGGTTTCCATGGGAGGCAAGTAATCTGTATCATGATTCAAGGGGTCTTTCAATAAAAGATGGGAGTTATCCTACAGATATTGTAATGTTTAAAATTGCAGTTTCAGAAGAAGCCTGCTTCAAGATTGCTATGCAGTTATTCAGAATGTCTGATGCAACTACTGAAATATAGTTTTATTTTCTCTTAAGAGACTTTGTTTTGCTATCAGTGTTAATGATTAACTAGGCTCTTCACAAAGATTAAGTTAACAGGACCCTTTACAGTTGATGCACTTCATTACACAACTGGCTGCTCCTGACTGAGGGGATAACATATCCCTTTCCCAAGTGAATGATCAGTCAGGCTCTCAAAGAGAAAATCAGAGGGCTATTTCTCAGATGACTGAACATTCAGCCAGTTGAGAACCAAGAGAAATATTAGAATGGTCAAAGAAAGATACTATTTTTTTCTCAGCTGACAAGCTCCTTTCAGATACCATTAGGGAAATGAAAGAGACTTGTGATTGAACATTAACTCTGTAGCACACTCAAACATGTGAATAAGGAGAGGAACAGAAAATAGACATCATCATAGAGCAGTAGCAAGCAACTCTGATTTTCAAACAGAGAATTTCACATAGAATGCCAGTTGTGAGCTTAATGCCTTCTGGCTGAGCTCAAGCATACCCTTCAGAAAAATGTCCACTTAAATTTAAAAAGTAATGGATAAAGTCATGACATCTTGAGGTGTCAGCTTCTTCCCTTCATAATTTTTAAGCCTATGATAAAACAGTACTTGGCCTTCAACCTGGTATCTTATTGCCAAGATCTGTAAAGATACCTGCAAGCCCACTCTGGAAGACAGTATACTTCAGTAGTTTCAGAGCAATGTTATTAAACTTTGCAACCCCCTGCCATGTAGAGCCTTCTGATTTAATTTGTATGGGGTTTCCACAGCAGAACAACCTTTTGCCTGGCTGAAAATTTATATGCTTTCATCAGTAAGGAACATGCTACTGCAATACATTTTTTAGAAGACAGCATCAAATTTTTAGAGTTCATTCTTACTCTATTTATCCATGTCTGTGTTTGGTATTATTTATAACTAATACAACAAATCACTAATGGTTAAAAATAGAAGTAGAGAATGCATATAAGTAGACTTAATTGCTAATGTATCAGATAAGTAGTATTTTATTTGCATGCAAATTTACAAAGGGCATGCACTGGGATAAAACAACAAATGTTATTTAAGAATACTTTTTATTATTAAATGATTACATAGTAAAGTGGTTTTCTAAGTTTTAATAAGAAACATTGGTCTGACTGTGGCAGGTATTGTGTAATACACAGATAATTCTGTCCTGTATGATAGGAAATATTGTGAGTTCAAAAGCAATTCTTTAACTTGTACATACCAAGTAAGCAATTCTAGAAGCAACCAGGTTTTATATGAGCATTGTATAAGACTACAAACACCATTTCTTTCATGGGCAAGATTTATGGTACAGCTTCCCATTCCAATTGATTAACGTACTTTCAGTGCTGTAGGGGTGAAAACTGAACTCTGGAGCAGAAGACTATGCATAATAAGAAATACAAAGTGAACAGCCTGTGTTAGTAAACTCGAAAGGAGGTGTATTCAGCAAGAGTTTAAGCATTCAGATACACCAATTCTTTTCCTAATCATATGTTTAGCAGAACTCTTCTTCATAAGTACTGATTTTTTTTAAAGCTGTTTTGAAGCCAAAAGAACATAGGAGCTCAACACCTTTAAAATCTAAACTACCTTCAAAAGTGATACACAATTTGGAATCTCCAGCTTTACTCATGCTAAAGCATCTGGGTTTTCAGGTAGTTATGAACATACATCTTTGTCAAATCCGTTCTCCTTAAACAGTTTAAACTCAGAACACCAAACTGGTATCTTCTCATAACCACATCAGGTATTTGAACCTTACCAAGGAAGTCTCTGAATTTTACAGCTTTGAGTTATCATGACATACATTAAGCGAACAACTCTTTACTATGAACATAATACTTCATAGTAACTATTGCTGGGAAAATTTCATACTGAGCCTAGTTTACCTGCCATCTCTTTCTGCTGCCCCACCTTCTGTTACTGTTTTGACAAATATTCCCAGTTTTTCAAGGCCTGCATCTGCTCCAACTCCCATTCCAATAATGCTTATGCCAAGTCCATCTTCGTCTGTGAAAAAGGAAAGCGAAAGCAGAACTTACTACTCCCTTCTGAGGAGCTCAGAACAACAATCAAGATTTTTACTCTTCCAGTGCAGAATAAAAACATCGCATCAAACACTGTGTAAAATCGTATGTTAATGGAGTGACACAAAAAAATTCCATTAGAGAAATAAAGATGAATGTCTCTGAACTGCTTCTTTAATTCCTTATCAAACAATTTTTGAAATTCAAACAGCCAAGGTGACTACAACAGATTCACGGAAGTTCAAGACAGGCTCTGCAGGCATGTGTAGACTTCCTCAGATTTGCAGATCAGTGTCACTTCCAAATGGCACACAAACTCCATACCTTTTTCTAGTTCAACTGGGAAGAGTTCCAGCTTTTCCACACGCTTCTCGAGTTCATATTCAGCTGATGCAGCCACTGGGTCAACTTCATCATTTCTCCTGTCATAGTCTTCATTGGAATAGGTATTGAAAACCTGTGGGAACAGACCAAAAATCACTCAACTACCTACTCCAAAAGACTTCCAACTTACAAAAGTAACTACTGCTTTTGTCCTGTGATGTTGCAGAGCTTGAAAAGGCTTTTAAAAGATAAATTTCTCCTGTTAGTTCAAACTTCAGTTTTTTACATTTGTGCTTTTTCATTCAAGTAAAGCATAAGTATGGTTGCAAAAGTCAATTGAGTATAAATGATTGATCTTGTTTGTGATTATAAATGCAGAAGGTGATCTTGAATGACTAAGCTGGCCTATACATGTCAATTTGTAAAATACTTAATTCAGCTCATTAAGAATGCACTATCAGAAAAGATTCATAGACAGGAAAAAGCAAAATACATTGAAATGATGATCTGCATACAGTCTCTGTTGCTGCCTTTTCTCCTAAGGAAGTTCCAGTTTGCATTTATCTCACTAAAGCTAGACCTGATGATTACTAACCTACATTTACGCCGCCTATGGATACCATTAGAGATTATGCTCCATATTATGTATTAACTTTTTAGGAGAGGAGTATACACAGCCATGGGTATTTTTTAACCTAACAGGGTTTACGGTTTATTTCAGCTCTAAAGCAGTAATTTAACATTGACTCCATTAACCTGATTATATTATTTATGCTACTTTCTATCATACTTTCAACATGAACATGTCCTTCAATCGGATATTATTCAGACCTTCAGGAATGTCAAACAGTCAGGAGAAGTATATTTTCATACTTTAGAAGTCATAGTTTGCCAGCCTAATTCACTTAACTGTCCACATTTGGCAATAACGAAAGAATATGCAGTATTAGTGGTAGTAATTTTACTGAACTTTAGTCTCACGCATATATCATGTTCACTACTTTAAATAAAGGAAAACAATTTCTCGTATCTCCTCTTCCTCTTTTATAGGCACCCTACAGAAGATAAAACTATGTAGCCATGTTTTTCTATATTGCTATTTATCTTTCAACATAAAACACCGCATAAAACACCATGCTATGTAGCTACACGTATATTCAGGTCTCAAGAAGCCTGCTTTCTTACAGCCTTGCTTGGAGGCTCCGTAATGATTGCCCCCGGAGCAAGCAGACTAGCTCGCTGCCCGGTGCAATGCCAGGGGCTGGGCTCATTTCCACCTGAGGTTTCACTTGCCCAAAAAGCTGTTAGTATAGATGAATTTCTTTTAAATAGTGAATACATTAACATTGCAATACAAAAATACTATTCAATCCTATTGTAAGTATAGTAACTGTGTTATTGCTACTGCAAAGCTACTGCAAAAAACCTCCTGGCTTTACATAAAGTCGTAGTTGAAACAGAAAAGATGTTAGTTACTCTATGGAAATTTTAACTCCTGTATTTTACATCAATGCAAAACACTTAATAAATTGCCTCTTCCAAGAAGACTGAGATGATAAGCATTTCACAAGAATCCCCAAACCTATCTCCCATGGATTTTTACTGATATTGATGCAAGAAAAAGGCTGTTTTAACTACACCATGTTGCTAAGAAGCCGTCATAATATATCCAAAAGCTAAGTAAAATAAGTCACATACTGAACACTGTCCAATGCTGCTGAACATTTTATGCTGCTTTAGTATGTATAAGATTGGAGAAAAAGACACTGATGCAGAAATAACCATAAGAGAATGTAAAATTTACTTGGTCTAAAATAACCTGCAAAATCTATGTGCCAAGTTCTGGCCAAGCAACACACAAACAGAGAAACCCTGCAAACAGCCAACCCCTTCAAAATGTAAGTGATCAACTCCTTCCCTAAGCTTCCGTTTGTGGATGCAGTAACTGCATCTGCATTGGGTATTTTTTAAAGGCCTTGAAACTTTGTGTTCCATTTCTGCTCCTGCTGTTAACCCCGTTGAGTGTTTGACCTCCCACTTAAAATGGAAAAGAAAATGGGGGCATCCACACCTGCTTAACAGCCTGACAGAAGAGCTCTGAAATGTCTTTTGGTACTGAATGCTTTTCATAGACCTCTTTTACACAAGATAAAGCCTTCTTCATGTTACGTACCCCTGCCTACTGCTTCTCCGTGGGTCTGAACGCTTGAAAACAGGAAGAATCATGAACATGGTTTTCTATGTAGGCCGTATCGAGCTAGAAAACAAGCCATAGATCTAATGATGCTTGCCTGTATGTAGTGAAAAAGAAGCACGTAGAGGACAGAAGGCCATCCTATTTATCTTTTGATTGCGAGATGTACGACTCATGACAAACATCTCTACCCTGACAGGAGAATAAATCAAAGCGGTGAGAAGAGGCCACTCAACAGCAGTGAAAAGCCCTGCCTCAGGCGGGTGGGTGAGCTCCCGCTCCCCTGGCAGCTAACCTTCTCTCTGGTTTGTTGTCAGAGATGACTATTCCCACTAAAGGCTCAAAACCCAACCTCATTCATTCTGCCATCAACCCAAATAAGGAGCTAGACCCAATTAAAACATTAGTGACCGAAGGTTTGACCACAAACCTTTAGGTTTGAAATGCAGTGGTCATGCAAGAGAGTACAGGTTAAAAACAACAGCTGTGAGTTTAGCTTGGATTGTCTCATTCATCAACATCACAAGAGAGACCTGTGTTTCACATGTGGAACAGAGATGGATGTTAGCAAGGAAAATGGAGATACAGTCACTAGCTGTTAAAGCATGGTGAGAGAGGCAGGGAAGTATAGCTTGCTGAAGACAAAGATTAGATGAGGGTGAGGTATAGGGAAAAATCCTGTCACAAAATGAGCATATTTATTTCTGGATTCCTTTTCATCATGTTAACTGGCCCCATTCTTTTCCTTTTGTTCAATGGCTGGCATCAGCATATTGTGGCACCAGTTTTAGATTTGTTGCAAAGTGACTGGATATGCTTCAGGATAATTTTCTTTCAAAGCATCAAATCATATATTGACTTCTTGTTTGGGATGATCTTTCTTGAACCAGATTAGGCAGAAGAGATGGCTTCTTGGATCTTGCTCACTGTTCTGGAATATTTAGTTTTGCACTCAAGAAGGGAACTAAAGATACTGTTGGTGGTGAATACAGTTATTATGTCTCCAAATATATCATGCCACTCTTACCTGGTATGATACCTAAAACATCCAATCTGAGACTGCAGGATCACCGATAGCAACAAGGTAAAATAGTGATGTTTCCTGCCTGGCATTAACTCACCGTCTTTTGTACATTGGTCGTATGATCTTGCCCACCGCCTTCAACATGTGTTTTGATTAGGGGAAGAAGGAGGATATTCTTGTGTGTCATTTACCTCATTTTGCATGACCATATTTAATGGTTGACTGATTCTATTAAATGAATCTCTGGGTGTTAAGATGAAGAAAATAAAAGAAAATTTGTGCTTGAAAATTTTCTTTCTTTGTGAAACAGTCTATCCACCATAGTAACAAACTGCTTGCTCAGTACAGTCATGAGGACTGTCACTCAAGATTTTACTTTGCTAAAAATAAAATAAACAGTTATAACTTTTTTCCTCACAGTATGCTTAACTTGATTTAAGTAAACCTACTTCACCAAGTCTGTTACTGCTGTGTTTCCTCAAGCGTGTGTGGGATTGCAGACTTATGGGAATTCTCCCATTCCCTGTGATTTAACAGATTTGATTTTGCCCTTGCACTGGCCAAGTACCTACTACAATAAAGTCTCCTCAGCCATTACTTACAGAAAGCTCTTTTTCAGGAAAATCCAGTACTGTACCTGAATCTCTGGTTGTACCTCTCCATTAGAAAAGAAGTAGTTACCATGGAATTCACCTACGGTGTTTACAAGGATTTAAAACAGCACTCGTAATCCAGCAACAGACGAACGGGAAAGCCACCAACAGTGGTGACAACTCAGTGGATACCAAAGCTCAACGTGTACACCAAAACAAACCCCAAAGAAATGATGGGCTTGCTCCAATGCTGCCATTAACAGAACATACTACTGTCTTCTCTAAAGTGAAAGAAAAAGGGTCATCAGTGATTCATCCAGCACCAAAATAGTGACAAACTGTATGATCAAAGAAGCAGGTATTATTGTTAGGCACCCTGGGTGGCACCCCCAAGGTCACCATACATACACATACATGACTACTTGCTTCTCTTTCAGAGAGCAGTGGCAGAGCACAATCTAGAAAGGACATGTCACTAACTGTAGCAAAATATGTTGCAGACTCTAATTCAGAAAAAAACCCCCACATTCTGGTTCTAACACTCCATTTTATTAATAAGACCAGAAAAATACCGCAGTAGATGGAAACTGATTATTCTTGGAAAAAGGAAAAGTTTTCTAAGTTTGGGGCATTTTCTCATAGCTCTCAACTACCAAGAATCTTCACAGAATTTTGCTGGCAATAATCAGTAGGTAGGGACACCTCTTTTTTTTTTTTTTTTTTTTTTTTTAAGGAAGTTGGAAAAGATACGAACTATAAAGAATCGCATGGGCTATCCTCCCCATGGGCCAGCCATTTTGGTGCCACATTAACCTTGTTACTAGTGTAGCATACTATGAAGTCTGCAACATAAAAACCGTCTCATCTAATGTGTTAAGAAAGTCCCAAACACACTGAGTATACTCTGGATATGTATATACTGTCCTTGCAACTTGTGTGAAGGAACAAGACCTGCTCCCAGGTTCAGCTGCTACTGACTGCCTTTTTCTCCATGCTTTTTACCCCTCCAATGACTGGTGCCTGCTAAAGGGAATGAACGATGGAAGAGCTGCACGTTGGAGGGCACCTTGTTGCAATAGCTGTTCTACCACACCTTCAGCTGCACAAGTCTCTCTAACACACTCCTAATAGTCTCTCCTATGTGCAACTCTTGATTACACCAAGTGATTCCACATCAGCGGCCACAGCCAACGTACACTGGTGATCACTGCGTAATACCTCTTATGAAACCACGCTTTCCACCCACTACTGCTACTGCTGTCACAAAGCCTGCTCCTCATGCCTCTGTTCAGAAAGTAAAAACAGCACCTAGGATCTGACCC